CCAAATGTACATTCCACATCAGCGGAGTTTTCACTTTGTCCAGATATTTAGCCATGGATGGCAAAGATCCCGACATGGCAAAAGCGTCAAAGCGCTTTGAAATCTCTCTCCCATGAAGTTTTTGAGATTTGTGTGAGCTTGTTGTAGGACGGGGAAACATTAGGCTCTGAAAGTAGGGGAGCAAGCGTCAAGAAAACGGGAAAGCAAAAAGGCATAGGAAACGATAGAAAACGCGACACGTTACCATAAATTAACACATTCAGAGGACATCTAGCCCATGGGACAGCGTTCTGAAGTCGGAGTGAAACTAGGTCTCAAGCCCTAGACCATAAAGCCAACGAGAATCAGAAACTAGGAAATTGTAGCACAAACTCTACGGCCAAGTTCTGTTCTACTTCACTCGTGGAGAAGATTGTTTCATATTATATGTTTTCGAATCTGCTTTCTAGAAATCTACGTTTGGAATATAGGTGGAGAGTCAAGAAATCGTTGCAAAACAAACCACGATCTTATAAATACTTACGGGAACGGCTCATCTTCTTCAGCCTTTTCGTCACTGAAAAAAATGCTTACAGACGCAAACGAGAGGGACATCCAATACAGTTATTGACGATTTGAAAGGATGTGCGTAAAGAGGTTTTGCCAGACTCTTTCGAGTTTTTGGCACAATTTATTAGGAAATGGTATTTGAGCGTAATATCGCACACGTATTGGAGCCATTAACACATGGAGCTTACTGCGGCCTCACAGCTTCAATTGTGAAATTGCAATATTATCACATTCATGCAATATATGTCCACTTTCCCGAATCTGTTGTTATTAGATCTCTTACAGTTCTTCTGGGTAACACTTCAGCGCCATCAACTACCAAGCTAGCAAATATAGCTCCTTCGAGCAAAACAACAAGTATATTGCCAGCAAAAGGATGCAGACGATAGTGCGCTCAAGTTCTCTGCAAAAATAGTGCCCCGTGAGGTGTGCTTCTTCGAAAGCCAAATATATCTCACTAAGTGTATCACTGACTTTCTCACTAGCCAATGAGCTGAGCGATTCGGTGTTCTTGTTCTCTTGTTGTTGCACTTCCGCTCAACAGGAAGCTCAATGTTATCATCGCCTTGAGTTCAATCTCACCCCACGTCGCTAATCCCTGTCTTAGCTTTCACTCCGAACCTCGTTCTTATTCTACTATTTGCTGCCTCACCACTTTATGTTACCAGTTTTGCTCCGCCCGCTATCGCGCGCATGTCAACATAGGCTTCTGTGAAACAGAGTATAGCCGGGCTGTTGTATTGAGAAACATACTGCTTTCAATTGATTTTACTGATGGTATTAAGGAAAGCAGATGATAAAGCAGTAATTTCTCATAGCTCCAATACCAATAAACATCCATCATTTTTCTAGAACTAACAAAGTCTAGCAGACCGAATGACCTTTGCATGACTAATAAAGTTATTGGTTGGCAAGAGTGACAATGTCGCTTCCGTTTGTGCCTTTGTTTCTCAGCTTAAACACAATCTCTTAGGATGGGAGACCATTCATTCGAGAGAGCGATTCAGCACGCATATTGCGAAATCTTAGGCGCCACTGAGCGGATGTTCTTCGAGCCAAAACTTTTGCTCGAAGATGACTGATCAGAAATCATCGTCTGATATACAGGGGGGCCAATAAAAAAAGACATTTTGTCTCCACTTCAGATGGATTTAATCACACTTTGCTCAATTCAAACCGAATGGTCCCAACTTATATTGAAGAGCGCATTTCATTCTATAAGAAAATCTTCATAGTGGCCACCTACGTGGACGGCATCAGAAAAATTTGCCCTGGAAACATGGTGCACTGGTCGAGCTCAATGGGGTCTTCGAAGGATCGTGTACCATAACGACCTTTACTGGAAAGCTAGTTCGAGGGGGTTTGCATAGTGGGAGCTAATGTCCTCTAGAAAACTATCCAACATTGAATCGATTCACGAAATTACGTA